TGCTCTGTGCCCACCCTGGTACACGTGACAGGAGTCAGTCCACAGAAAAGATCACAGATACCAAGTATTTCTGCTTTTAACCGTGTGCCAAGAGAATCGATGTTACTGGCTCTTAACCTCAGGTGCACATTGGAATCACTGGATAATTTTTAAAACTCCAGATGCCAGGTCCCACCCCAGAGATTTCAGAGTTAATCGGCATAGGGTATGGCCTGAGCATCAGGATTTTTAAAAGTTCCCAGGGATTCTGATGTGCAGAAAAGTATGAGAACCACTGGTCTGCATGAAGCCTGGGCAGTACGATTCAGAAAGAAACGGAGAAAGTCCTGCATTCAGGAGATGCAGGTTCTGAGCTGGGCATCAATACTGTTTAGTATATATTGTCCTTGAACAAGTAACATAATGTCTTTCTACTGCAAGATTTTCATCTGTAAAACAATTCTATTCCCTGTAGTTCTTAGAGAAATACCAAGTTCCACATAAATGTAAGGGTCAGCTGATTATTATTTCATTTTGCTACATGAGGCAAACATCAACTGATATTTACTGAGCCCTTACTATGTGCCAAGCCCTGTGTTAAGTGTACAGCTGCCCTCAATGGTAGAGACTATGATTATCCCTATTTTATAACTGAGAAAACCAGCTGAGGCCCAGAATGTTAATGTACAGAAGGTAGAACATCAGTATTCCTTAGAAGTTAGGAAACCAGCAAGAATAAGGGAAGGGTAAAAAGAAAATAGCAATAAATATAATTTTAAAAGATGAAAGGACTACATTATCATGACAGGTCCCATACAACTGTGAAGTGTGTAGATTACTCTTTCAAAAGATATACACTAAGATGGAAGTAAAATTGAATGTTGTTTATAAGAAATATACCTAAATCAGAGATACAGAAAAAAAATCTGAAAATAAAGATCTGGGAAAACTTATCCAAGGTTGATCTAAAGAAAAAGAGGGCAATGTGGCCACGTGAAGAGAAACCAAACTCAATTTCAAGGACAGAGGCATCAACAGGATTAAATTGGTTATTTGATATAATGAAAATAGGTATTGATGAGATATAAAGTCATAAACCAAAGGTATGTGAAGCAAACCCTTGTGGAAACATAAGAAGAATGAGATAAAAAAATATATACTTATATACAGACATAGATGTATGTATACTTTTATATCTCTAAATATCTGGATATCTCTCTGTATTTCAGATTTTGATTTTAAAAAGTCAGCAGAAATACTCAAGCACAGAAAGGGCTTGAGTAATGCAATCAACAAACTAAAATTAGAAAAAAGACAGAAATAAACAAATATTCAACTCAAGAAATCTGAAAAAGAGCTACAATAGCCAACATGTGTTGGGCATTGTTATGAACATTACCGCATTTATTTGTCAAAACAATTGTACCTCTGAGACAGGCACTCTACTGCTTTTTCCATTTTCCAGATGAACAAACCAAGATGCAGAGAAAGTATCAGATGAAGGTCCTGGAGCAGTGAAACCTGGAGCCAAAGCCTTGTATTAACCTCAACACCAGCAATAAAATGTGCATAAAAGAACATATGAAAAGGCTATAATGCAGATAAAAGTCAATTAATGAAATAACAAACAAAACAAATCATAAAACAATGTCTAGCAAGTTCCTTGACAGGGTTTGATTAAGTTAGAAAGAGAAAAAGTAAAACTGTTCAACCTCATAAATGAAAAAAGAAATGTAACTATAGCTATAGAATAAAATAATTATAAAAGAAAATGTTGGCTGGGCTCAGTGGCTCGGTCTGTAATCCCAGCACTTTGGGAGGCCGAGGCGAGTGGATCGCCTGAGCCCATGGGTTCAAGACCCACCCGGGCAACTTGATGAGACCTCATATCTACAATTAAAAAAAAAAATTAGCTGGGTGTGGTAGTGCACACCTGTAATTCCGGCTACTTGGAAGGCTGAGGCAGAAGAATCGCCGGAGCCAAGCAGGTCAAGGCTGCAGTGGCCGGGAGCGTGCCACTGCACTCCAGTCTGGGTGACAGAGTGAGACTCCAATTCAAAAAGAAAAAAAGAAAAAGAAAAAGAACATGTCAATGCAATGCCATGGTGGCAACTTCAAAAATCTAAAGGAAATTGATGATTTTCTACCAAAACATAGTCTCCTGAACTGTATATAAGGAAAAAGCAAATAATCTGAACTGACAAATGATTTCAGAAGAAGTCAGAAAATAAAGACTTGTTTTATCTAACTAACCTTTAACAATAAATAATTTCCATAAAACTTCTACAGACCATAATAAGACGGAAAGTTCTTTAAGACATTTTGTAAACCTAGCATAATCTTATATCAAACATCATAAAAGCAATACAAATAGAAAATTATAGATCAATTTATCTATAAATATAAATGCAAAAATTATAAATGAAATATCAGTATATAAATCCAGAAGTTAAAACACCAATTAGTATTTACTATAGGAATTCAAGTCTGGACTAACATCTATCATCATTATTAATTTATTAAATCAAAAAATTAAGGTAGAAAGGCTAATTTGCAATAGCTGAAAAGAGGGAATTTGACAAAAACCAGCAACTTTTCCTAATAAAAACTCAATGCAAAATTAATACATGGGGAAATTACCTAAATATAACAAGAGTCTATTTGCCAAAAACCCACAGCAAATGCTCATGAACTGCTGACATTAAGACCTTTAAAATCAGGAACAAGATAGATACACCTACTATCATGATTATTCAGCTTTTGAAATTTCTAGAGATATACAATAGGACATGGAATCAAATAAGTTATATAAATATTGGATAAAGAGAAACAAAATTGCTTTGAATTTGTAGATGACTTGATCATATACTTACTCAAGGAACTCTACTAAAAACTCTTAGAATAAGAGAAGTTGGTAAGGAGACTGGATAAAACATAAATAAACAAAAAACTTTTTCTTAATATCAGCAACATCAGATTGAAAATGGAAATAGGAAAGATTTGTATATATGTCATTAAAATGGTGGCAAAAACAACAAAAAAGTCACAAATAAACAAAATAGGTCCAGGACCTTTAGGAAGAAAACAATAAAATCTTGTTAAATAACATAAAAGCTACATAAATAGAGTTACTGTGGAAAATGTACGAAATAGAAAAACAAATGTTTAATAAAAGTCAAGATGTCTTTGAAAAAACAGTGAGTAGAAAGCTTGTATTAACAGATTTCAAGATTAAAGGAAGTGCCTTATAATCAAAACAATATGGTCTTTTCCAGAAACAGATTAATAGGCCAGTGAACCATACCAAGAATTCTAAAACATATACAAGCATAGATATTAGGGAAAATGCCAATGGTGACATTTCAATTCAGATAGAAAAGGAAAGTTTTATTTTAAAAACTGTACTGAAATAACTGGCTATCCATCTAGAAAAGATGAAAACTAGACCCTTTACCCTCCTTCATATAACACACACAGATAAATATGAGAAGAGTTAAAGCTTAACATGAAAAAACTAAAAAAAACTAAAAAAAAAAAAGAAACTCCAAGAGAATATTTATAGAAAATTAGAGTAGAAATGACCTTATATAACCAGATACCATACAGGAAAATATGTTTAACTTCATAATATTATATCTTTGCTATCACAAAAAATAACAGACAAAAGGAAAATAATGGATTGGGGGATATTTAGTAACAAATATGATAAACAAAGGCTTAAAAATTCTTAATGTACTAAAGACTCTTAAAGTGAGACAAAAACCCAACAACTCTGAAAAATAATCAGTAAAAATTAACATGCAATTCACATAAGGGGAAATGCAAATAGCTCATGAATATATGAAAAGATATTCAATATTATTAATCATAATAAAATGGAAATGAAGACAAGGAGATATCATTTTCACCCACCAGACTAATGAAAATTAAAAGGCTCCAGGATACCTAATGCTGGCTGAGGTGTGGGGACAGACAGTCCATATATTTCTGGGGAAGGTATGAATCACCACAGTTTTGGGGGGCAGTAATGCCAGAGCAGTCTACCTCTAGGATTCTGGTGTACATAAGCAAACATACCCTAGCAAATCAGGCTACGTTACAAGAGGCAAAAGTGGAAATAATCCAAATGTCCACCAACAGGAAAAGAGCTGAGGTTATTAAGTTACACTGGCTCTATAGATTTAAAACCTGTATCCAGAAGAATGAGTTGCAGCCACATGGATGGATCTAGAGGAAGTCTATGATGAAGTACTAAATTTAAAAAGCCAAGTTGAAGATAACGTAAATGATGTAATACTATTTTAGTTACTAAAGTTGGATATTACCTAGAACTAGACCCAGTACAGGTTTGTAAATGCTTTTATAGTTTTGCATAGGGAAAGATGTAAAAAAGAACCTTGCCAGATTGTTAATTTAGTGACTTAAGGGGGGCAGATTTATCATTTTTATTACATCTCGACTGTTTTCACTTGTTATAACAAGCACATATAACTTTTCAATTTAAATATTTAATAAAGAAAAATTTAAAAATAAATTCCTAAAAAGTGTGGCATGTTTAGCCAATTTTGGAAAAAAACCAAAGCAAAGAAAACCTTGAGAAAGTATGTGAGGCCCAGATTTCAGATCTCACCCTGCTATGGCTTGAAAGTCTCTCCAAAAGTCACGTTGACATGTAATTGCCATTGTGATGACAGTACGAGGTAGGATCGTTAAGAGGTGACTAGGCCAGGAAGGTTCCACTCTCATGAATGAATTGATGTTATCATGGGAGTGGGTTCATTATCTCGAGAGCAGGTCGTCATGAAAGCAAGTCTGCCCCTCTCTTGCCCTCCTGCCTTCGCCATGGGATGCTGCTGCATGAAAACCCTCACCAGATGCTGGCTCTTTGCTCTTGGACTTCCCAGTCTCCATAACTATGAGTCAAATCAATTTCTGTTTATTATAAATTATCCGATCTGTGGTATTTTGTTATAGCAGCACAAAATGGACAAAGGCACAGCCCTTAGGCAATGACTACTCACCGTTTTCCCCAGATAACTGCTGGGCAAGGCACTGGCTTCAATGAAATATTTCCTGAGGAGATGCTTGCTGGGGTCGGGACTATCCAGTAAGATGTAGGAACAGAAATTGGCCCCATGCCTGAGCAGGAATATGGCAATGTCTTCATTCCCTAGAGGGACAAAAACAGAAAGCCAAGGGCACTTAGACATGGAGAGTGTCCAAGTTGTGCCAAAGACGGACTCTAACATGGGGAATGGAAACTGAAAAGGTGCTGGTGCTGGTTGAACTTCTCCAGCTTCCCTTGATGCATCGAGTTCCTGTTTGTGGGACAATTTCGGTGGGACTCTGCCCTTTGGCGTGTTCACACAACAGTCCCATTTGCCACAGTGGTTCCCTGTCATGAAATCCCCTTGCAGAGGATAGTTGGGGGAAATGAAGGTCAGTGCAGCTGTTCTGAAAAAGAAACACAGAACAGGAGTTGCAAAAATCTCCCCACAGAGGTGGTTTCAGAGCCAGAAGGAGAGTGAAGACAGGGTTCCACATCTGGAAGTCACCATGGTTTGCATGGGCAGGGCTGACTTGGGGATGGGGAACCCACCTGCCTTGATGGCTGCGTAGAGGGGCAAGCGCACGATGACAGGAAACTCATTCTTCCTGACAGCATAGCTCTCCGGGTCAGCCCCATGTGTCAGGACCAGGAGCTTCACGACCCCTAGGTGTCCTCGCTGGCTAGCCAAGGCCAGCATCCAGTTGAGCAGTCGCTGGGGGCTGCAGGGACCTGGCAAGAGACAACAAGACAAAGGAAAGTGCCACTGGAGGCGCTACTGTTCTTGCCCCCATCTTCCCTCTGACCATTAATAAGATGGAGCTGTCCTTTTTCTGCTGAAAGCTGCCTCAGTGAGTTGATAGTGTTTTCGGAAACGTTCCTTCTGAATTGTATAAGACATCTCCCCACATCATTAAAAACCCACCTGTGGTCAGACCACGCCATGGCATGCATAGTGTGATCTTAGCCGACTAAAAACTGGATAAGTGGAAATAAGACTAGAAAGAACCACCCCAGGGTTGCAGTATTATCTGAACATTCCCCAAACTCTCTTTCTCATCCCCACCCTGCTGTCCCCTCTGGAGTAGTACTACACATAGGAGTACAAACTTTGGAGACAAACAGCTTAGGGTTAAAATATTTTAGCGGTGTAATTTTAGACAGAGTTCTTAACCTCTCTCTGCCTCAGCTCACCCATTGGTAAGATGGCAACAACACAACACCTATCCTCCCAAGTTGAGTGCAAGGATTACATAATATAATGTACATCAAGTGTCTGGATCAATAAATCCTAATTCATTATGTTATTCATTATGCTATTAGAGTACTACCACTTTATTGCATTTTCAAATTATCTATAATATACACATATTACTTTAATAAATTATAATAATAATAAGTTTTTATGAAAGAAATACTCTCCAGCCTAAAGCTTTGTGAATTACTCCCTGGAAGAACCGCCTACTTAATTTCAGGCTGAAATAACGCTTAGCACATTGAATTAACAGAGACAGTGTGGGCTGAAGTGTTACAGTATCTTCTTCAAGTTCAAAATCTTTTGGGTCTAGTTGCCATGGGAAAATTACCTCATCTTCTGCATTGAGATTTCCCAAATGCATCATAACATTGTCTCATTTCCAGAGGCATAAAGTCCTTAGGGACTGAAGTGCTACCAAGCATGGAGACAGTGACCCTCTCCTCTACAATAGGATATTGACCAGGAACCAGAGATCAGAATGGCAGGGATTAAACTTCACCAAATAGGGCAGCTGGCATAGGGTCTATGCTGGAGCCTGTACTATGTAAATGTCCCTTCTTCTCTCTATATTGTTAACCAAGAATGAATGATTCAGAGGTGTGGATATAGTTTAGATAGTTGCCCCCTCCAAATACCATGTTGAACTGTGATCCCCAATGTTGGAGGTGGGGCTTTCTGGGAGATGACTGGATCACGAACGGCTTGGTACTGTTCTCTCAGTAATGAGTGAGTTCTCACTCTATTAGTTCACGATTAGTTGATTGTTTCCAAGAGTCTGGCACCTCCTTCTCTGTTTCTTACTTCTGTTCTCACCAAATGTTATGCCTGCCCCCTCCATCTTCTGCCGTGATTGTAAGCATCCTGAGGCTTCACCAGAAGCCTAGCAGATGCCAACACCACGCAGAACTGTGAACCAAATAAACCTCTTTTCTTTATAAACTACCAGCCTCAGGTATTTCTTTATAGCAATGTAAGACAGACTAACACAGGTATATTAACAGAAAACAAGTGATCCCTAATTCATTTCCTGCAGGAATACCTAGGTAAGGGAAATGCAGTAGTCGTGTTGTCAACTTCTGTGAGGATACAGCTGTGTCAGTCTTCAGAGGCAGGCACTACATTTCAAATCCATGATTTTATTTTATTTTTTGAGTTGGAGTCTCACTCTGTTGTCCAGTTTGGAGTGCAGTGGCATGCTCACAGCCACTGAAACCATGACCTGCTGGGCTCCAGTGATCCTTCCGCCTCAGCCTTCCAAGTAGCTGGAACTACAGGTGCGTGCTACCACGTCTGGCTAATTTTTATTTATGTATTTATTATAGAGACAAGGTCTTGCCAAGTTGCCCAGGCTGGTCTCGAACCCCTGGGCTCAGGCAATTCTCTCACCTCAGCTTCCCAAAGTGCTAGGATTACAGGCTTGAGCTACTGTGCCTGGCCAGACCCGTGATTTTAAATAAGGAAACCGAAGCTCAGAGAGATTTGGAAACTTGCTGAAGGTCCCACAGCTGGTCACTTAAATCCTGCTTTGCCAAAATTCAAAGGAGTGCTCTCTTCAGCACACACATCCTGGCATGTATTCTCTGACTCCTAAAGCCAAGAGCACTCAGAGGGAACCCATTTTGGCTTCTGCCCCTCCTCCTGCTCAGCTTCAGACACCAGGAGTTACAAAGTGCCGTCTTCAAGGGGCCTATCCCACCACCCTCTCCTCCTGCTCCTCAAAACCCTCTTTTGTTCTCCTGCTGCCTCTTGTTGGTCTTCTGGACCTACCTTGCTCCTGACCGTGGCTGCCTTCCCTTTGGCTTGGGAATGCTCAGAGAGCACACACACTGCTTTGCCTGCTCCTGCATTTCTCGTAGGGCCCGGCACAATGGTCTGAAACCCTTTAGTCCTTAGCAATCCTGCCTGGAATTGAATTGAAGACAGGACGTTTCTGGGAGCAGCTGAAAACAGCCCAGCCCAGCTCCCTGCTCTGCAGAAGCAGACATCCCAAGTCCCTTCCTCATTTATCTGCCAAGTAAACTCCTATTCATCCTGCAAAGTCCAGTTCAGATGCCAGTCTCTCTCAGAAGACGTCATTCTGCATCCAGGCAAGACCACCCCCTGATGTGTACTCCTACACCTCTGTGTAAATACTCTAACATCTGCATGATTACACTGCACAGAGTTACTTATTTTTGCCTCAATTTCCCCTGCGTGGCCAGGAGCTGCAAAGGGCTGGGACAACTTTTAAAATTCTCTCTCAAGTTCTGCGGTGTGCTTAGTACTTGGCAGTGTTCAGTAAAGATTAGCTACAAGTAGGTGATTGGATCACCTGGCACAGACTCTTCAGGGCTAGAACAGAGATAATCTTGGGGATCCCTGAAAAGGGAGAGTCAGCCTTTGGCTCATCCCTGCCCTCCTTGTCTTACCTCACCCAGTTTGCTTCTTATAGACCCTAAAACTTCTCTGATATCTGCCCATAACCTCATTCCCCCTCCAGATACATGAAGGGGGCACCAGCTGAAAACCAACTCTGAGCACAGATCTCTCTCAAAGCCCACAGTCAGACACCCCCAGACAGGACGGCTACATATGGGTGGGGCCCGATGGAAGATGAAAACAAAGGGGCCACTTGTTTAAAAATTATGAGAAATAATTCAGTAAGTGAATAAAGACTTATGCCAAGCCTGGGCCCTTCCAGGCTCAGGGACCAGTGTAACTGCACAGTTGTCCACCAAGAAGGCTGGCCCTGTTCCCAAGAAAAATCCCAACTCCCAGCGTGCACGGCTAAGGTATGCCTCAACCTACAGCTGCAGCAATGCCTGCCTGGACTCATATAGTACTGCTGAGACACGGCCACCAGAGGAAGTGACAGGGGACCAGGACACCTGGAGTTTACCAGAGAAAATAATTACTTGTTACTAGAAAAGCAACACAGTATGGCACATCCATCCAGTGGAATATTATTCCGTCATAAAAAGAAGGGAACTATCCAGTCATGAAGAGGTATGGAGGGCCCTCAAAGGCATATTGCTAGGTGGAAGGAGCCAGTCTGAAATGGCAACATACTGGAGGATTCCACCTATATGACATTCTGGGAAAGGCAAAGAAAGTAAAAAATCAGTGGTTGCTGGGGGTCTGGGGAGGGCGAGATGACTAGGTGGGGCATGGAGGATTTTTTAGGGCAGTGAGACTGTGCTGTATGATACTACAGTGGTGGATATGCATCCTTATGCATTTATCAAACCCATAGAAGTGTACAACACCAACAGCAGATCCTAATGTAAGCTATAGACTTGGTTAGTAATAAGGTATCACTATTGGTTTATCAACTGTATCAAATGTACTACACTAAAACAAAGTATAAATAACTGGAGAAAGAGTGTGTGTGTGACATATTGAGAACTGTGCTTTCCAATCAATTTTTCGGTAAACCCCAAACTTCTCTAAAAAAGAAAGTCTATTGATTAGAGAGAAGCAACATTGATTATATTCTTTATCAAACATAGTGTACGTGAATTTTCCTGGTGAATTCATCGGGGTAGGAGATGGGATGTGGCCAGCAGGCAGTTGTCACTGTGTCTGGATTGTCGGCTGAAGGCCCCAGATTTCTTGATCTCATTTTTGGTGAAAGCATAAAGAAGTAAGCATTTTGGGGCAGTGTCCAAGAAGAGGGTCCCCTTAGAGGTGGTAAGGAGCTCATGGTCTGTGATTTACCTGGCAATGACTCGAGCAACTCCTGTACAACTTCTGTGTGCCCAAAGTGCGCTGCCACCACAGCTGGGTTGTCATCAGTGGGCTCAGTGGGCAGCTCCACACGCCTCTCGGTGAGTAGATACCGGACCATCTCCAGATCCCCATAGGCTGCCGGGATGTTCAGAAGCTGGCCCTGGTCAGAACAGAACAGTGCTCCAGTGAGATCAGTTTGGGAAGTACTTAGAGAACTGGCTTTAGATGCCTCACCAGGTCCCTGCATAAGATTAGAGTGACTTTGTCTAGATGACAGCACCAGCCAGGTGTGGCTGTGGCATGCTTGAAATGTGGCTTGCCTGAAGTGGGAGGGAATGCAATTTCATAGGTGACTTCAAAGACCTGGCACAAAATGGGTAAGCTGGCTTATCAGTACTTTATATCAATCATAAGTTGAAATGATGATTTAATATACTCAGGTTAAAATAATGTTATTAACATTCTGCCTGTTTCTGTTTACTTTTTTTTTTTTTTTAAGAGACAGGGTCTTGCTATGTTGCCCAGGCTAGACTTGAGCTCCAGGGCTCAAGAGATCCTCCCACCTCAGCCTCCTGAGTAGTTGATATTGTAGGCACATACCTGTTTATTTCTTTAATGTGGCTACTGGACCATTTATATTATGTGTGTGGCTTGCATTCTATTTCTGCTGGACAGGGTGACTCTTGACCACCTGCCTCATAAAGATGGGGACTATGTGAGTGTCCCTTCCTGGCACAGAGCCAGAGCTCAATTACTATCAGTATATGTTGAATGAATCTCAGGAAGAGGGAAGGCAGCCCAGGCTCTCCGGGACCATCCTGCAAATTATTCATAAAGGAATGTGACAGATGAGGGGACTCCACAGATTTGAATCCTGGAGACCCAGATCCCCCAGCAACATGCAGTGGGATTTTTTTTTTGGATACAATGTCTTGCTCTGTCACCCACCTAAACTGGAGTGCAGTGACATGATTACGGCTCACTATAGCCTCGACCTTTGGGCTCAAGTGATCCTCCCACCTCAGCCTCCTGAGTAGCTGGGACTACAGGTGCGCACCACTATGCCTGGTTAATTTTTTCAATTTTTATTTTTGTGGAGATGGAGTCTTGCTATGTTGTGCAAGCTGGTCTCGACCTCTCGGACTCAAGTGATCCTCCAGCCTATGCCACTCAAAGGGCATGGATTACAGGCATAAGTCACCATGCTCTGCTGGAATTTGTGACTTGGTGGCTGGGGTGGGGCGGGGGGTGCTGAGTTCCTGCTTCATTTCAGCCATTCAGGCACACAAAGGTTCTATGAGGTGGGCCATGGATTACCACATGGACAAGGACATGGAGGTTCAGAGAGATTTTGTAGCTTGCCCAAGATCACACAGCTAGTAGGTGGCTGTCAAATGGCCTTGACTTTTCACGAGCTCCCTAGGTCAGAGAAAAGGATGCTCAGATGGGTGCTAGATGGGTGTGTGAAGTATTTGACTGCATTACTGAAACTCCAAGTCCTCTGGAATCTGCTACTTCCTAAGGGCTTGACCATCAGTGTGTTGAAGAAGGCGGATGGGAAACCAAGTTGGAACAGAACGGCCAGTGCCACTGTCAACGTTTACCGAGGCCCTGCTGTGTGTAAGAGGCAGGGCTGGGCAGGAGGATGCCAGTGAGCCGTTTCTGGCCTCCATGGATTTACAGTTAAGCTCAAGGTGGGAATATCCATAAAACAGTCCCAAATGAGCATATTTTACTTGCTGAGTAGTTTAGAAAACAAGTGCCTTTGGAGATCACTTTGGGGTGAGCAGGGAAGGAATGGATAAATGGAGCCTCCCAGGGAAGAGAACAGATTTTTTTTTTTTTTGAGTTGGAGTCTCACTCTGTCACCCAGACTGGAGTGCTGGGCTCCGGCAATCCTTCCACCTCCACCTTCCAAGTAGCCGGAATTACAGGCAAGCGCCACCATGCCTGGCTGATTTTTTTGATTTATTGTAGAGATGAGGTCTTGCTGCCCAGGCAGGTCTTGAACCCACGGGCTCAGGCAATCCACTCACCTCAGCTTCCCAAGGCGCGGGATTACAGGCTCCCCGGCTGAGAACAGATATTTATCAAGCTCTTACCATTGCCAGATGCTGCACCGAGTACTTTATTTATATGGTCAACTCAATCCTCCTAATGATCTTGCCAGAAATGTATCTGTATTTCTGTCTTATGGATGAGGAAATAAAAGCTTGCCCCTGCTTAGGGAGTTTATGGCCAGCAGAACCATAAACCAGGATTTGAACTGGGGTGTGGGTCTAGCTCTGAAGCTATGTCCCTCAGCTCCTGCCAAGACTTCTTGGAAAATGTGGGACTTGGAGGAAGGTTTGGGTTCTGCAAGAGGAGTGAATGGGCTGGCGGTGAGAAGTATGTCCGACTGGTAAGGTGAGGCACACTCTAAGGGGCTGGAATTATTTGGAGGACAGTAGAGTCATATTTCCAATATGACCAGAAAAGAAAAGCTCGCCCATCTGCCACTCTGCTCAGTGTGGGGCCCAGTAGCACACTGCCATACCAGGAAAGCATTTGCATTATGGAGAAAAGCCACAGTGATTGATTAAACAATTCACCACACACAAGTAACAGCTGTCTAGCTTCTGTTGGTTAGAGGTTTAAAAGCCCCATCCTCCAGAGGTGGTAAGTGATATCATCGGAGCAAGTCCAAAGCCAAGAGGGACTCAAATGGTGAAAATGGTCAGAGCTGGCTCTCTGGCTGGAGACAGCTCAGAGGCTCTGTAGTGTGTATTTATTTTCATTCAAACAGCATAGAAAAGTACACAATAAAAAGCAGGCGTTCCTCTATGCCTCCACTTCCTAAACCCCCTCTGCAAAGGACACCACTCTCACATAGCTTTCCAGAACATGTTGTTGCACACACACTCACAAGTAATCCCATACGAACCAAAAGCTTTTTTCACTCAATCCATTATGACTTTTTATTGGCAATATAACATATCTACAGAAAAGAACAAACATGGTAAGTGTTCCATTTCAGGTATTGAACTCATCCATGTAACTGGCCCCAGCCCCAGGAACAGGACTCTACCCAGAAGCCCCCTTGTGTCTCTCTAGTCACTGCCCTACCAGAGGAACCACTATATGGACTTCTAACACCATGGATTTCCTTTTGCCTGTTTTTAAACATGATAAAAGTATATACCTCACTTATTTTTTTTTTAACTTTTTTTCTTTGAAATAATTAGAGATTCAAAAGAAGTTGCAAAGATAGTAATGGGAGGACTCAAGTATCCTTCACCCAATCTCCCCAGATGGTAACATCTTTACATAATTGTAGTAAGATATCGAAACCAGTAATTTGACAATAGTGCAGTGTGTATACATAGTTCTGCCATTTTGTCACATGTGTAGGTTTGTGTAGCTCCCACCACAATCAGGATACAGAACTGCTCCATCACCACAAAAATCCCCCTCATGCTACCGTTTTGTATTCTCACCCACCCTCTGCCTCTCCACCAGTTTAACCCCTGACAACAACTAATCCCTCTTCCATCTCTACAGTTTTGCCATTTTGAGAATGTCAAACAAATGAAATCACAGAGAACATGACCTTTTGAAACTGACTTTTTTTTCCCCCTTGCTCAGCATAATGCCTTTGAGATCCACTGGAGCTGTTGCACATTTCAGTTGAGGTCCTTTATCCTGCCAAGCAGTATCCCAAGGTAAGTTTAAGTACTCACCTACTGAGCATTTTTGGTTGTATCTGGTTTTTGTTCATTAAAATAAAGTTGCTAAGAACAATTGTGCAAGTTTTTGTGAGCATATGTTTTAATTTCTCTAGGGTAAACGTTCAGGGGTTCAATTGCTGGGTCATAATCTAAGTGTGTTTTTAGTTTTTTAAGAAACTGCCCAATTATTTTTCAGAGTAGCTATACCATGTTATTCTCACTAGTAATGCATCAGAGACACCATTTCTTTGCAACCTGGTTTGAATTTGGAATTGTCACTTTTTAAAAAATTTCTGCTGTTTGAGAAGGTATGTAGTAACATCTCTTTGTTGTCTTACTTTTCATTTCCCTAAAAGCTAGTGATGTTGAGCATTTTTCCATGTTTACTGTCATCTCTATATCTTCTTTAGCAAAACTTTTCTTCATGTTTTTCACACATTTTCTATTTGAATTGTTTGGTTTTTAATGTTAAGTTTTGAGAGTTATTTATACATTCTAGATATAAGTACTTTGCTAGAAATGTGGTTTGTAAATATTTCTCCTAGTCTGCAGTTTGATTTTTTTTTTTCACCGTCTTAGCAGGTATTTCTCAGAGCAAATGTTTTTAATCTTGATGAGTCCAGTTTGCCAATTTTTTCTTTTCTAAGTAATTTCTTTTATGGATTTTCTGTGTAGATTGCCATCTGATCTACAAATAGAGACAGTTATTTTTTTTCCAGCTCTTTATGCCTTTGATTTCATTTCCTTACCTTATGGCACTGGCTAGAACTTCCAGTAATAGATAAAATATATTGAATTGTATTATTTTGAATATAATGATGCTATAATTATTCTTGAGTAGAACGTCCAGTATTATGTTGAGAATGGACATCCCTGCCTTGTTCTTGATCTTAGGGGGAAAGCAGTCTTTCACCCTGTGGTATGATGTCAGTTGTAAGTTTTTGTAGATGTTCTTTATCCAACTAAGACGTTCCCCTCTATTCCTAATTTTCTGAGAGGTTTTTATTTTATTTTGATTATTTTTTTGTCAAGATATTGGATTTTGTCAAGTGCTTTTACTACATTAATTGATATAAGGTAATTTTTCTTCTTTAGTCTACAAATATGGAGGATTATGTTGATTGATTGAATACTGAACCAGCCCTGTATTCCTGGAATAAACCCCACTTAGTCATAGCTTATAATTCCTTTTACATACTGCTGAATTCTATTTGCTAATATTTTTAAAAGAATTTTTGCTTCCATATTCATGGTGTACATTGGTATTCGGTTTTTGTACTATCTTCTGTTTTGGAGTCAGGGTAATATAGGCTATATAGAAGTGTTGGACAGTGTTCTCTCCTCTTCTATATTCTAGAAGAGATTGTAGAATTGGTATTTATACTTTAAATGTTGTATAGAGTTCTCTAGTTGAAGCCATCTGGACTTGTAAATTTCTTTTTTAGGAGGTTTA